GTACCTATAAGTAATTTTTTACATTCGAGTCCTAAAGTATTGATGAAAAATTACATTTTTGTATCTAAAGTGTAATTTACAAATAGGTACACTGCTAAGAAACTTTTGGTAAGCCTTGAAAAATTTCTGGCATGCTTTGAGGAGGTTCTGACCTACTTTGAGGTTCTGGCCTACTTTGAGAAAGTTCTGACCTACTTGGAGGAGGTTCTTGCCTACTTTGAGGTTTTGGAATGCTTTGAGATTCTGACATGCTTTGAGAAGGTTGCGGCCTATTTTGAGGAGTTTCTAACCTACTTTGTGGAAGTTTTGACCTACTTTGAGGTTCTGCCATGCTTTGAGGAGGTTCTGATATGCTTTGAGGTTTTGATCTACTTTGAGGAGGTTCTGGCTTACTTCGGTGGTCCACCTCCCTTCCTCACATTTGCTGCAAAAAGGACGGTTGGTGCTAGTCCACCCTTCCATTTCCCAATTTTACATAATACAAAGCATGCCTCTTCTTCTAAGTGTAAAATACTTCAGGTACTACTAAAGTATGAGAATTGGGAGAGCTATACCACTTAACTAAGAATAGGGCATCGCGTACCACTAAACTCTATTATATGTGCACCCGGTACCACTTAAGTTTACTGCTAAGTGTGTTCCATTAAAGTTGACAGAATTCCGTTTTCTAAATTTCATAGTTGGTTCTTCTACTTTTCTTATTATAAAAAAATCATTTGAACTTATGAAAAAACATCATTTTTTATTGTTTAGTTGATATCTTCTTTTGAGGACTTGATACTAAATCAATTTTTGAATAGAAAAAATATCAAGAACGCCTTTTTACATGGGGATCTTAAGGAAGTCATATACATGGAGAGACCACCTGGCTATACCAAGGGTTCAACAGATATGGTTTGTAAGTTGACTCGCTCGCTATACGGTCTCAAACAAGCACCCCGTGCATGGTTTGAGAAATTTCAGAGTGTCATTGTGCAGCTTGGGTTTGATCAAAGTCAAAACGATCCTTCTCCCTTTGTGCGGAACACAGTTGATGGTATAGTGGTTTTGTTGATCTATGTTGACGATATGATCATTACGGGCAGTGATAAGGAGGGCATCCAGGAGTTGAAGAAGTCTCTTCATCAGGCGTTTAAGCTCAAGGATCTGGGTGATGTATCGTACTTTCTGGGCCTGGAGGTACAAAGATCTTCACAAGGGATTCTGGTGTCACAGAAGAAGTATATTGGAGACTTGTTTACTACTTCTCACTATACAGACTGTAAACCGTGCGCCACCCCTATGGAGCAGAACCTAAAACTAACTAGAGAGCACAGAGACTTAATGGAAGATCAATCCCTATATCGCAATATAGTAAGGAGTTTGATTTACTTAACTCACACACGACCAAACATTTCTTATGCGGTGCAGGCTGTCAGTCAGTTTATGGGGTTTGCTCGAGCACAACATTTAGATGTTGTTCATAGAATACTTAGGTACCTTAAGCAGACACAGGATATTGATATTTTCTTTCCCACTTCAGGAGAGGAAACCATTGAGGCATTTGCAGATGCAGATTATGCAGGGTGTCCTGACACTCGAAGATCTACTTCTGGTTGGTGTATCCGGGTTGGACAGTCCTTCGTATCCTGGCGATGTAAGAAACACGATCGGGTTTCTAAGGCATCCATAGAAGCATAGTATCGCTCAATGTCAGAGGTCAGTTCTGAATTGGTTTGGTTACAGAGGTTACTGGTTGAGTTGGGTGTTAACTGCAGAATACCGATTCAATTGTATGGTGATAACACAAGCGCCTTACAGATTGCACTCAATCCGGTTTTACACGATCGTACAAAGCATATAGAGGTTCATATCCACTACATCAGACAACTGGTGACAGAAGAAAGAATTAAGTTGAGTTATCTGTCAACAGAAGACCAGACAATAGACATATTGACCAAGGCTTTGGCGTCTAGCAGGAATTGGTATCTTTCATCCAAATTGATGTTGAGAACCCAACATCAATTTGAGGGAGGGTGTTAAAGTTTGAGTATCATTATGTAAATATGTCAGCCTTAGTCATTAGGTCGTGCATGTAACCTCTATATATAGTCTCTTGTAACCTAGCTTCCGTAACTTAATATGATTGACTTTGAAGGGTTTCAGCTCTCCAGTGGACTAGTCCTGACACTCAGGGAAACCCCGTTAAACCTTGTGTTTTGTCTCTCTATTTAGTTTGACACTCTCGCCTCCTCCGTTGCTGCCGTCGTCGAATCTCTATCCATCGCAGTTGTTGCCTCTCTCTATCTCTCCATCACCGCCGCCGTCTCTCTCTCAACCATCATTGCCACAGCTGCTGTTCTCCGACAAATCTGCCACTGGCGGTGTTTCTCTCTCTTCAACCACCGTCGTTGACATAGCCTCTCTCTCCTCCACCTTCATCGTCGCCGCCATCCCTCTCTCCATCGACGTCGTCGCCTCTCTCTTTCTCTCTCTCCTCCACCGACGCTGGGATCCTTCTCCTCCGTCATGCCTTTCTCTCTCTCTGGACATCACAAGAAAGGGGAAAGGAGGAGATGGTTGGAGAGGAAAAAAAAGAAATAAATAATAATAAATAAAACAAAATCAAAATTATGAATTAATGAATTTCTGATAATGCCAAAATTATTTTTTCATTTATTATTAATTCATCACTTTATCTTAATTATTAGATTAGATTCATTCAAAACGGAGAGAGATTTAGTTAAGAAACTAATGATCCCCTTAGTCTTTTTATTTTCCAATGACCCGCTTAGTCACCAGACTCGGACCCACTCCCGGACCATTGAAGAATGCCTCTACAGGCCTAGCTAGCCCATTCGTCCATCGAGCCATTCTGGGCCAGGAACCCGATGGTAAGTTAATTAGTTACCAAAAACCCGCATAAACCTCACGCTGCCCCCAAAAATCCCTAATCAATGGTGGCGATGGGTTTCTTCTTCCTCCCCGTCGCCCGCCGATGAGATCTATCTTCTCTCCCCACCCTCCTCTCAGGTTTCTCATCTTCCCACTAACCAGGCCTTTCATGGCTTCTTCCGTTACCCAAGTTCTAGACCCGCCCACCAGCCCGGACGATTCAATTTGTTCCAGCAGCCCTCTCCAACACCAAGACGCAGCCCAACCAGAGGAAGACCCTTCCTCTTCTTCAGCCGTGCCCTCTTGCGTCTCCCCCTCGCCTAACGGGTACCTCACCGGAGAATCTCGGGCGGAGCGAGCATGGGCGCCCCAAGTTCGTTGTTGCTCCGATGGTGGACAACTCCGAGCTCCCCTTTCGGATGCTCTGCAGAAAGTACGGAGCAGATGCTGCATACACTCCGATGCTTCATTCCAGGATTTTCACCGAGAATGAGAAGTACAGGAGCCAGGAATTCACCACTTGCAAGGTACAGTTGCCTCCGGTGATTTTGTTGGATGCCGATAATCTTAGTACTCGTGAACCAATTGGAACTTTGATTCGCAGGAGGACCGGCCGCTGTTCGTTCAGTTCTGTGCAAATGATCCAGACACCTTACTTGAAGCTGCTGGGACGGTGCAGCCTCATTGCGACTATGTCGATATTAATTTCGGGTATGTGTTCGATAAAATGTCTCTGAGAAGCATTAAAGTTGGAATGAAAGAAATGGTTCAGTATTAAGTATTAACTATTACGTGTGATTTGGTGTTGTGGTGTTCTTTGCAGTTGCCCTCAGCGGATTGCCAGGCGGGGGTATTACGGTGCTTTTCTAATGGACAACCTGCCACTGGTCAAGTCCCTGGTTGAAAAGCTGGCCCAGAACCACATTCGCGTCTCCTGTAAAATCCGAATCTTCCCCAAATTGGAGGATACAATTAGCTACGCCAAGATGTTGGAGGAAGCTGGCTGCTGGGTGCTGGCAGTACATGGCCGAACTAGAGATGAAAAAGACGGGAAGAAGTTCAGGGCTGACTGGAAAGCCATCAAAGCTGTAAGAGAAGCAGTGAGAATCCCTGTTCTCGCCAATGGCAACATCCGCCACATGGAAGATGTTCACGACTGTTTGGAGGAGACAGGCGTGGAAGGTGTGCTTTCAGCCGAGACTCTGCTGGAGAATCCAGCTGTGTTTGCTGGATACCGAACTCCTGAATGGGTCTGTGCTGGCGAGGAAGAAGAAAAGTGCAGAGATGGATTGCTCGACCAGGCTGATTTGGTGGTGGAGTATTTGAAGCTGTGCGAAGAGTACCCTGTGCCGTGGAGAATGATCCGTTCCCATGTGCATAAGATGTTGGGAGAGTGGTTTAGGGTTCATCCTCATGTTAGGGAGGATCTGAATTCACAATCCAAGCTGACATTTGAGTTTCTGTATGATATGGTGGACCGTCTCAAGAAGCTCGGCGGGAGGATTCCACTTTACGTTAAGGATACGGATGTAGCCAAGTCCTAAAGCTTCTGCTAATCGGGGATAGCCAATTGAATTAAGAGCAGCTTGGCTGTTCTATTCATTCTTGTGTCATGAACAAGGTACGATGTACAACATATACAATGTATGTTCCTTTATACTGTGGTTCATAGGATGGCATCTTACAGTTCTTATTAGCCAATGTGGTTTTCTTCTCCCCTGGTTGTAGTATGGGAATTGGCCCACTTATATGTTTTGAAGACCATTTTACAGGAAACTTCAGATTGTTATATTCTCACGATTGAAAGGGTTACTGCCTATGGGCTTTCCTCTTGTTTTCTTCATTCTTAGTTTGGTTAACTTTTCCGCAACTGTGCTTCTGAGAAATATTATTTATTGCAATATAAGTTATATAACCATAGAGGCATATAGGGGTGTTCAAACGGTTTGGTTATCGTGGTAACCGTTTTAACCGGTACTATTTGGATAATTTGGTTTGGTTAATTTGAATAATTGGTTTGGTTTGGTTAAAGTTTTTAGCTCGTTTGGTTTAGGTGGTTTGGTTTGGTTCAGACACTCGTAACCAGTCAAACCAAATTAACCAGTTAATTAATTTTTTTTTTTTAAAACATAAATAACATTATATTTTTTTTTTTGAGTGAAGGGAGGCAAAAGCCCACGGTCAAAGAGAGATACAAGCACCTCCCGAACTGCCCCTACAACCAGGCAGCAGGACCGGGAAGGTGTAAAACCTCAAACAGCAGGAAAAAAGAACTCGCCCAGCTGACAAACAGAAGCAAAATACCCCTGGTTCCAACAAGCAAATTAATCCCTGCTCAGAATCACTCTTCTCGAGAAGCTAACACCAATTATGTCTTCCCTCAAGAGTCTTTCCAATTCCCTAGGTGGACTTGTAAGCTCACACGTACCGAAGGGATAGACGAGACTGTGCTTCGAGAGCCAGTCCGCGACTCTATTCCCCTCTCTATACGTGTGAACTAACTGTACCACCCAGTTCTGAGAAAGCAAACGTCTGATAGCTGCCAAGATAGTCGAATGAGGATGGGCAGGATCCTCTCGATTCCTGATGAGGTCTATAGCCAATTTTGAGTCTGTTTCCAGAATAAGAAATTGGGTACCTTGTTTCCAAGCCATGATAAGTCCCTGATGAATTCCCCACAGTTCCGCTAAAATAGCTGAGCCAGTCCCGATCTTGCAGCAGAAGCCACCCAGCCAGTCACCATCGCTGTCCCGAAGAACTCCACCGGCGGTTGCCAACCCCGACGATCCTTGCGAAGCTCCATCCGTGTTCATTTTTCTCCAACCAGCCGAAGGAGCATTCCACCCAATCAGCCTGTCCTCACGAAGAGGTTTCTCTATGGAAGCTAGATTATGATTTGCTCTATCCCAGGTGTCAAGCCAATCTTTTGTCTTAGATATAACATAGTTGATGAGGGACGACTCCGCAAGCTTCTTTCCCTGGAAAATATAATCATTTCTGTATTTCCAGACATACCAACAGGTTAAAGCGAACCTGCTTGGCCAAACCTCAGCATCCGTACCTCCAAAAACTCCTTTTAAGTTCATTCGGAACCAAGACGTTTGTTCCAAAGAGAAAAACCTGGCTTGATCCTGGGCAGCAATCATCTTCTCCCAGATTTTCCTTGACACAGTGCAATCTCTAAGGCAGTGAAGGTTTGTCTCAACAGTATCTGAGCAAAGTGGGCACTTATCGTCAGTGGTCAGGTGCCGAAATTGCCTCACACTGTTCGTGGAAAGCCTCCCTTTTGCAGCCAGCCAAGTAAACCACCGAACCCTCTCTGGGCATTGGAGCCTCCAAATTTTGCGCCAATCCATATGGTTTTGATTGCTTTGATCTGGAGAACCTGCCAAGTAAGCCGAGCTGGTGTTGAAGATTCCGTTCGCTGAGAGCTTCCAGAAAAGCCTGTCTTCTTCTTGGGAGAGGGGGTCTAGCATGATCGACCGGATTTTATCAACGATCTCTTGAGGTAAGTAAGCTTGGAAGTCCTGAACCTTCCACCCACTGTTTGCCTCCCAGTAATCAGCTACCGTCTTATATTCCACACCGTAGGGAATCTCGGTAGTGGTAACCTCCATCAACGGGACCTGCAAAACCCACACGTCCGTCCAGAATTTAGTTTTTCGACCATTCTTTACATTAAAAGCTGCTCCTTTGCGCAATAGGTTAGCAGTTTGAGCATAACTGTTCCAAGCAAAAGAACTTCCCTTTCTTTTGTTAATGACTTGCAGCCCTTGTCTAGTCCCTCCATACTTGCTTCTCATCACTTTAGCCCAAAGTGCTTGGTCTCCAGTGGCTAGTTTCCAAGCTCCCTTGGCCAACATCGCTTGGTTCGCCAATCTGGTGGGTCTGATCCCCACACCTCCTTGATGTCTCGGCTTCGTCATCTGTTCCCACGCTATCGGATGGAATTTTGTCTTTCCATCTTCCTCTCCCCACACAAACTGGCGATTCAACCTATCAAGGGAAGAACAGACACAAGCAGGTAATCGTTCGGTAAACATAGGATATATTGCCATAGAGGAGGCTACCGACTTCACCAAGGTGATCCGGGCAGCTACAGAAAGGTGATTCGCTTTCCAGGTCGCAAGCTTTTGTTGGATTTTCAGAATCAATTCCTGATAGCGCCCTTTAGTAATCCTGCCATTAATAGCTTTCAGACCCAAATATTTACCCAGATCATCAGTAAGGGTGATCCCAGCCCTCGAACTGAGTCTCTGAGCCTTGTCTCTATGAACATTGGGCGAAACATAAATGGCAGATTTGCTCAAATTCACTTTTTGGCCCGAGCTTGAGCAAAAGTCCTGTAAACAAGAACGGATGACATCGATCTGCCCTCCCTCAGCCTCTGCAAACAAAATCAGATCGTCAGCGAAAAATAAATGGGATAGACGAGGGCCATTCTTCGCAAGAGAAATAGGTTTCCAGCGTTTCTCATCTACAGCCTGCTCAATACGATGCGCCAGTCTTTCCATACAAAGCACAAAAAGAAAAGGGGATAAGGGGTCTCCCTGTCTGACTCCTCGAGAGGGTCTGAAGGTTGAGGTGAGCTCTCCATTCCAGCTTATTCTCATTTTGTTCTTCTCGACACAGGTCATGATCCGGTTGATCCAGGTACTAGGGAGGCCTATTTCTCCCAACGTGTCCCTAAGAAAGCTCCAGTGAAGTCGGTCATAAGCCTTCTCTAGGTCGATTTTTATCACTAGGCCTCCCTTCTTACCTTTCTTGCTTCTCAAGGTGTGAAGAGTTTCTTGCAGCAAAATAATGTTGTCGTTGGTTTGACGACCCTTAATAAAGCCACTTTGAGTAGGAGCAACCAGTTTAGGCATTAGAGGTTTGAGCCGATTGGCGATAGCTTTCGTGATTGCCTTCAGGACTACATTGTTCAGACTAATGGGCCTGAACTGAGCTGGAGTCTCTGGATGAGCCACTTTGGGGATTAGAATCACAATAGAATCAAAAACCTCCTCCGGTATGTTGCCTGTTTCAAAGAAGTGAGTTGCCATCCCCGTTAGATTTTTCCCCACCAAAGCCCAGAAATTCTGGTAAAACACCGCCTGAAAGCCATCAGGTCCAGGGGCCGACATAGGCTTCATTTCGAAAATGGATTTGTGGAAGTCTTGGATGCAAAAAGGGTGCAGAAGCTGCATGAGTTCTGATTGCTGCAGACGCGGAAAACACCCTTTGGGCATTAAGTCCTCATAGACTTCTTCCTCCTGAGTATAAACAGACTCATAAAATTGGACAACCAGATTTTTCAAGGCATCCTGATCCTCAATCCAGTCCCCGCTCCCATTCCGCAAGGCCAAAATTTTATTCCTCCTCCTTCGTCTAGTCGCTTGCTGATGGAAGTATGAGGTATTTTGTTCTCCAAATTTGACCCATTTTTCATTTGCCCTCTGATACCAATAGAGTTCCTCTTGAGCAATGGTAAGATCCAGCTCCTTCTCGAGCTTGATTTGCAGTTTCATTAGGCCAGGGTTAAAAGAATTAGCTAGCCTGTCAGTAACTCCCTGCAATCTAGCCACGAGTCTCCTTTTCTTAGGAAAAGTGGATCCAAAAACTTCGGTCTTCCACTGCTGTAACTTCCCTACCAGGTCAGAAAGGGTCTCTTGAAAGGCAGAATCTTTATTCCAACTAGCTTGAACGAAGTCCTTGAATTGAGGGTGTAGCAACCAGGCCGCTTCAAATCTAAAAGGTTCAGTATCAGCCGTGTGATGAGACAACACCGAGTACCTAGTAAGAATGGGAAGATGATCCGAATGAAACTTTTGAAGGTGCCGGACCACTGTGCTTGGGAAGGAGCAGTTCCACTTATCATTACACATAGAGCGATCAATTCTGCTAGCTCTGTGGGTCGAGGCAGTATCTCCCCTTAACCAGGTGTAGCGAGGGCCCGAGAAACCCAAGTCAGTGAGGCCAGCTTCATTAACCCAGGACAAGAACCTTTTGCATCGTCTCAAGTCTCTAGCAGTGCAAGTTCCATTTTTCTCTTCTGGATTACCAAAGGCATTGAAATCACCTGTAATAAACCATGGGAGATTCCAAATTTTGCTTGCTCGAGTGAGATGATCCCAAAGAAGAGGTTGAAATTTATAGCTGGGACTCCCATACACTCCTGTAAGCATCCAATCCTGCTGCCCCTGTTTCGAAATTTTGACAGTAATGTGCTGTCTACTGGCCTCAATCAGAGTAGCTATAAAATCCTCCGATTTTCAGGCTAACTAGATCCCCCCTGACCTGCCATTCGCATCTACCCGGATAACCTGATCATATCCTAGCTTGCTGCAAATGGAGTTAGCCCTTTCACCACTAATCTGAGGCTCCAAGACAATTAAAAAGTCAGGTTTATGTAAATCCCTCATCAACCGAATCGCTCGCAGGAACTTCTTACCTCCTGCACCACACACATTCCACGAAAGAATACACAAATTAGACTGATAAACCATGATAAACATAAAAAAAGGAAATAAAACACAAATCAAGGCTAGAAAATCAAGCGGTCTCGAGGCATGAAGGTTCAATTCCCCCTGTTTGGGGCGGCGTTCCGGGAGTTCCTGTGGTGCTGGTCTCCAACATCGCAACGTCCTCTTTTTCGATTCCAGTAGTTTCCACCATCAAGGGATCTATTCTCTTGTGAGCAGAGGAGCAAAACTCTTCGATCGCTTGTATCGTCAGTGGGAATTTCCCCTGCTTCTGCTTCGAGGCATCTTCCTTTTTTCCTGGGACATGGATTTGGAGAGGCTTGTTTGTTGTCTTGAGCTTCATCCCTTTCGGTTGCAAAGGGCGATCCTTCTTCTGTCGGGGAAAGTGTTGTCGAATTGAGGAGTCGCCGGTGTTCCGAACTGAAGAGTCACCAGAGTTCGGATTGCAGTTTTCTTTCTGTGGTAGTCGCAATTCAGGAACATTCAACACTTGGATTTTGGTGTTGTTTGGGCCGGTCACCAAAACGGCGGGTACTGGTCCTGGTTGGAGATTAACAGTAGATGGGCCAGGTTTATTGGGCTCAGCCGATATGTTCGTCGAGGCCTTCAGGCTCTCCTTAGGCCCCACTGGCCTCCACTCTTTGTTACCATTTGGGAGTTTGTTACCGTTGGTGCCAGCTCCTTCATCTCCCCCCTTACCTTTATTGTTCCCTTGCCTGCTCATTTTACTGTTTGCCTTATGCTCGTGCTTTCCTTTTGTATCCGAACTAGCTTTTCCCGCCTCAATCACCCCCTTTCCTTTGTTGAGACCAGAATCTCTCCACGACTCCTGTTTGTTTCCCTTATTTGAGCCCTGAGTCTGTGCCTGATTTGATTCCTGTTTCCTATTCTGTTTCCTCGCCTTTCTGACGACCTGCATCCAAGGACCATAGCCGGAAGGTATCTCCGGCGACTCTGCCGCCGGCTGAGATGAGCAATCCAGGTTTTCAGCTGCTAGAAGAGGCAGAGGTGGAGTAGGATTTCTTGAGGGACAGGCCTCCTCTGTATGCCCAATTCTGCCACATGAATAACAGATGGTTGGCAAGTTCTCATATAGAACTCCTTGCCAAGCTCCATCAAGCCTAATTCTGGTTGGAAGAGGTTTAGACATGTCCAAGTCTATTGCAATGCGGGCAAATTTGCCCCTTTCCAACTTCTCCGTGTGATAATCTAGCTTCACAGTTCTGCCAATAAGGTTCCCAATAGCGAACAAAACCTCCCTATGATAGAAGTGAACCGGGAGCTCCGGGAACTGAACCCAAGCTACCACCGATCGATGCGGTTTGTCTGATGTGCGAAAAGTAGGGGACCATTGATGAACCACGAGATAATGATCTAGAATCACCCATGGACCCCCTGTTAAAGCTCTTAAGTAGTCTTGATCGTTGCCAAAGGTGGTCAGGAAAGTGTCGTCGTTCAAATCCAATATCTCCAGGGATCCCACCGGCCTCCATAACCTGCGCAACTGGGAACAGAGGTAGGAATAGTTGATAGATCTCCCTAGCAAGCGCACTATCAGGGTCCTTTTCCACGGTTGGCAGAGTCTTTCTTTGAGGTTCGTCGAGATCTTTAATTCTGGCTCCCCCTGGAAAGTGCCCGTCTCTATATCATTTGTGCCGATGAAAGTCCATTGTGGTGTCTTAGAAGGACTGGACGCCGACTGTCCCGTAAGAGCAGCCTTGAAACTTAGATCCGTCATCAAAGCAGTCTTGAAACTTAGACCCGTCGGCACAGCCGGCTGATCATTCACTGGGGGTTGCGGTTGAGAAAGCTGTGAAGGAGGGTCCGGCGGTCGACCAGACAGGGTCGGATCAGTCGCCGGAAGGATTTCTTGCGGAGTGCCTGTCGAGAGCATTATTCGCTTGTGAAAAGGACCCCCGTCTTGACCAGTTAATTAATTAGTCATATATCTAGCATATATTATATACACATACTTAATACTTTGCATAACAACTCAAGAGTTAACGTTCATCCCTTTTAGACTCATATAAAATATAAAGCTCAATATTGCTCATATAGTGTATATTTGTATATATAAAGTGTAGATCACAACATATGGATGCCTAATTTAGATAAATTTCATACATTATGATGGATGAAAACTTGAAAGGAAGGTCATTTCCAGCCTATGATAATTGCTAAGAGACTAAGTCAATTTACACAAACACAACAATTCATTAACCCATACCATTGTCATAAATTTTTGTTAGGTGAATACTTTTATACTACTCGTAAGATAATTGTCTTAGTTGCATGTATTTTTGTTAAGGGTCAACTATAACTACGTGTTGATTGTTATGTTTTATTCATTATATAAATTGCGAATTGTTGCATTAACCGGAAAATTTTCATCATCAATGATAATGTAATTTTATATTGGTTAATCTGGTTAACCAATTAACCAAACCGATTAAACTTTAGTTTGGTTAATTTGGTTGTTGTATTAGTTTGGACGGTTTGGTTATGATATTATATTCCATGGTTAATGGAATTTAGCCTTATTTGGTTTGGTTATAACCATGGTAACCATTTGAACACCCCTAGAGGCATAGAGCCATGATCTCTAACATACAAACGGTATAAATGAATTTCATAAGTTTTAATGAATTCATTTTGAAATGAAACAATTTTGTGTTTGGTATCTTTAAAATAATTCATTTTCATTTCTAAATTTTGAATTCTATGGAATTGGAACTAGTTAAAGCAATTTCAAGGAATTGAGATGGAATTTCCAAATGAATTTCACAAGTATTAATTAATTATAATAGAATGATATAGTTATTCTCTTTGTTAACTAAAGTACTTATATATATGACATACTAAACACATAAATTCATTGAAAATGAATTCTACACGATAATTCATTTTATTTCTAAAGATTTGAATATCTCATACCAAACACAAGATTTCAATTGACAATGAATTCTACATGGTCATTCATTTTACAATGAAATGAATTCTAGATTCATTTTGTACCAAACGGTCTGTAAATGTTCTCCATAGACAACTTTCTTTTCCCAACTTCCTTAAGGGTGGTGGTAAGTAAGTGATTAAATATTATATATGGACTTTTGCAAATTTAGTTATTGGAACCAATTGGTTTGGTTTATGACATTGTATCATAGTTAGTTTGTACTTTGATATCATGTGTAAAAGTTCTTGCGACCTGTAATATTAACCGTTATGTTAAAACACATGATATGGTAAACTTCCTTAAGGGTGGCGGTAAGTGATTAAATATTACATATGGACTTTTGCGAATTCACTTATTGGTACCAGTTGGTATGGTTTATGATATGGTAACATAGTTTGTACTTGAGGTCATCTGTACAGGCCCTTGCGACCTGTAATATTAACCGTTGTGTTAAAACACATGTTACGGTAAACTTGTGCAAACTTCAAACTAACGAGTTGACTTTCATTTGTGGGGCATATAAGGTAGTAATTCACTAGAATATTCACATCGATTAATATGAGCCAAATAATTTTGTGCTAAACTTGCGAAGATTCAAGAAAAACCTTTTCAGTATGGAAGAAAACTTTATGCTCACTGCCCCTTTCACAAAAGCGAAAATATGGAATAAGATTTGGTCGTGCAATGGAAATAAGACACCGGGGCCTGACGGTTTCACTTTGACGTTCTTCAAGAAGGCATGGAGTATTATCAAGGTTGAAGTGGTTAAAGCTTTGGATGAGTTTTATCTAACAGGAAATCTCCCTGACTCTGTTGCTCATTCCTTTCTTTGCCTCATTCCGAAAAAAGAAACTGCTGAGGAGGTTAAGGACTTTCGCCCAATCAGTCTGATCGGAAGTCCAAATAAAATAATTTCTTAGCTCATTTCCCCTCTGCTCCAACCGTTCATGAAAATAGTAATCACTAGACACCAGTTTGCTGGTGTTAAGAGCTGTCAAATCCGTGAAGCGGGGCTGCTCGATAATGAGTTGGTGGATATCAGGATTAGAAGTGGAAGACCATGATTGGTTTTTAAGGTTGACATTGAAATGACCTTCGATTCCGTCAATTGGAGTTGCTTGTTCAAGATTCTGAAGAACATGTGGCTGAATTCTCGTATGCAAAAGTGGCTTAAAGGGTCGATGCTGGTTAACGGTGAAGCTGTCGGTTTCTCTTGTACTCAACGTGGAGTGGACTAAAGCAGGGGGACTCACTGCCCCCTTTCTTTTTCAGCTTAGTGATGTATATCCTATCCTTCATTCTCCATCAGGCTCAAGAGACTGGCCTAATCACGGGTTTCTTTATGGACGAGGATGTTAGATCGGGTCTTGTTAACCACTTCATCTATACCGATGACACTATCATTTTCTGCGATGAAACTGAAGAGGCGGCTTTTAATTTGACTGTTGCGCTGCTATGGTTCCAGACTTTCACATGTTAGAAGGTGAATCTTAGGAAGAGTATGCTCTTCCCGGTGAGTGATGTTGAGAATGTGGATAGACTGGCAAATATCCTCGGCTGTGATTGGAAGTTTATGTTTTCTCACTATCTTGGATTCCCTCTTGGAGCTACTCCCTCTTCCCCATCGATCTGGAATGCTGGTATTCGTAAGGTGGAGAGACGATTAAAAGGTTGGAAGGGGAAGTATTTGTCTCTCGGTGGCAGTATCACGCTATGTAATGCGGTGCTCGCTTCTCAACCTATTTACATGTTTAGTCTTTTCAATGCCCCGAACTCTGTGATTGGCATCCTTGAAAAGGCTCAAAGGGATTTTATTTGGTCGGGTGTTCAGGGTGATAAGAGGATTCACCTCGTCTCGTGAGAGATATGCAAGGATCCTAAGAAGCTCTGAGTGTTAGGGATCGTTGCCTTAAGAGCTCGCAACCATGAGCTTTTATGCAAGTGGTGGTGGAGGTTCGCCGCCGAAAGAGATTCTTGGTGGAGGGAACTAATCAACCTCAAGTTCCCTAACGCGATGTGAGATTGGATGCTTGGGAAAATTCGAGGGCCTGCGGGGTTGAGTCCATGGACCCAAATTATGAAACTCAAGAAGGTCTTCTGGAAGTACCCTCGGATCAACCCTAGCTCCGGCTCGAAGACTTCCTTTTGGTATGATTATTGGCTGAAGAACAAGACCCTCGCTGAAAAGTTCCCTCGAGTTGTTGTTGTTGCCGAGTCGTCGTCCTGCCGGATTAACAAGATTGTTAATCATTCTTAGGGGAGTGTTCTGGGATATTCCTCATAAACATTCGCTTAGGGGAATGTCACCTTATAGTGTTTGTGCATGTCCACCTTGGCTCGTTTGGGAGCCTTCTACTGGTTCTGGTTTTACTTCGCAATCGCTCTATACATAAATCATCAAAGATCGCTTCCCTAGATCAACTTCATTCTCTTTCAAGGCTGTATGGCATGATGTTATCCCTCATAAAGTGTGTATCTTCACTTGGATTGCCTACCAGAGGAAAGTGCTGACCCATGATGCTTTGAAACGAAGGGGATGGTTCATAGCTAGTCGTTGCGTGCTTTTGCGGTGTCAACAAAGAATCTCTTGATCATCTGTCCTTCTTCTGCAGCTTCCCCAGTCAGGTTTGGAGGGTCATGGCAACCTTTGTGAAGCTTCCTAACCGGGCAATTGACATCCCTTCATGCATCGGTTCTTGGCCCTACAGCACCCCGTCCAATCTCAATGATTGGTGTTCCAAAGTCCTCCTCCATGCTTTCCTTTGGCGCATCTGGCTTGAGAGGAATTCCAGAATTTTCAAAGACAAAAGCCGTTCCTTTCGGATTGTTTGTCTTCAAATTGTCAAGGATAATTCAGATTTGCTTACCGCTTCTAAGAAAGTGCATAGAATCATAGCAGAATAGTGGTTTAGCGACCTTAGAGCCAAGATCCTTCAATCCTTTCAGCAGCAGGCCATTTTGTGAGCTCTCCTCTTGGTGGTCACTTGCGTCTAAGCGTGGTTTGGTTTATCAGGAGGGGTGTGTATCATTGATTTGATTTCGATTGTTCTGCTTTTTGCTTTGTATTTTGTTTTGGTTCCCAGCTGCTGCTGGTCCGCTGTCCCCGTAGGGGTTTCTTTGTTGTTTGGCGCCGACTTTGTTGTTTGTCGATTTTGTTTTCCCTTTCTTTCTTTCTTTCTTTCTTTCTTTCTTTCTTTCTTTCTTTCTTTCTTTCTTTCTTTAAGTTTCTCTTGTTAACTTTACCCCCTTAATTTTATTTTTTCACCATTATAAAAAAAGAAATGCATATTACAATCCCGTAGTCAGTTTTGTGATTGCCATTTGCATCACATAGAGCAGGGCAACCTATGATCCGCGACACCCAAAATGCTTCTCCAGCTTTCTCTCCTTCAGTTTTGGAGGACTTTATTATATCTTTGTTAGCACGAGCTCCCAAAAGTTTGGCGCTATTGAGAAGTTGATGGAGGTTGCTACTAACAAGTTCTTCACCACTGAGGTCTGACTGTGGAATATGATCAAATCTCTTTCCAGAATCTTGAGACCCAAAGTGGCACCATAGTTCAAGCAGTCACTACTATGGCCACTCATTTCTAGGACCCAAAAGCAAGGCCACTTCCCTTAAGAGCGGGAAGGAAACCACCGATATCCTTGCTCCGAAACGACAATAGAGGTTTACCTACCCCAGTTATACCGGTGGTAGTTGATATCGAGAAGAAGGATGTTGAGGGACCAACTTCTAAGTCGAAACCCGTGGTGCATGAGTATCTTTCTCTACTTCCATGCCCCACTCAGATGCACAAGGACAGGTTTAAGCCAGAGTTTGTCAATTACATGACAATGCTGAATAGGTGCACATCAACTTGTCGTTCGCAGAGGCCTTTCCCAAATGCCCAAATATGCCAAGTTTTTGAAGAACATCCTCACAAACACAAAGAAGTTGTGGTAGTATCAAGGTCCTTGCATAATATGTATTATGCATATAGGGAAGTCCTTGGCGGTCCTAGGTGGTAGTATCAAGGTCACGACTTATTAGTTGTTCAAACGATTAGGCCTATGTGAACCTACTATCACTAAGATGAGTATTCG